TCAGCTAAAGACTAGTTTATTTGGAATTTTGGCCTTACCCTTGAGTCAGACCTTCTAGGAGATCTCAGGATGCTAATCCCAGGGAAGAATTCCTTCTGACCTGATCCACTTCGCAAGCGATCCTTGGGGGGTGCTGCAGAGATTGTTTCCCAGCCTGGCTGGCACTGGGATGCAGCATCGGCATCCAAAAATGTGTTGGAAAAGAGAAAGGCCTTTATAATGAGCCTGCGCCTCCCTTTGTCTTGTGAGGTTTTAACTACTGTAATTGCTTGTAGTGTGAAATAGTGTATTCTTCATGTATCTATTTTTGCTCTGGGTCTATCAGCTTATCTGCTTTCTTGTTTTGTTTTTCGTTGTTGTTGTTGTCAACTCATTTGAGTTCTGGTGGATATTTCTCTTGTGAATAGTATTGCCTTGGGAAAATACACATTCCTGTACACTTACACACCCACACACCATAATCGTAGGAAGGATAAACAGGGTAGAATTTCTTCTTTTTTTAAGCTAACGGTAAAGTCTACAGCAGAGGACGTTATAATCCATACTGTATGTAATTGGCTGTATTGAACCATGCTACAAATTAAGTCTTCTCTGTAATTTATTCTGTCGACAGTAACCCTCCAAACAATTTGATACTTCATTTAAGCATTGGTAAATGGCTCATGGAAATGCTAAGAAAAAAGATTTAATGATGATCAGATAAGAAACCCTATGTTCATAGAATGAATCCATCTACGTGGAATGTTATGAATTAGCCTGATCCCATTCATTCAGGGGACGCTTACTGAGCACTCAGATGCCCTGGCCTGCCTTTCCTTCCTGTCTTCCATCCTGCCATTCTTCCTTTCTGCCCTCTCTTCCTCCCTCCCTCCTCCCTTCTTCTCCTTCAACAAACACAACTTAGCACTTACTGTTCCCCGGGAGTGTTGTTCAGAATGGAGTAACACTAGGGGCAACCAGACATGAATCCTCATCTCAGGCGTCTCATGTCCCCAGTGTGTGAAGAAATCGCATGTACGCATGTTCTCCACCATGTGCTGGACCGAGGACCTCAATGCCTGGCACACTCTTTCCCCCTATCGATAGGACTTCCCGTTTATGATGGCGTCTTTGCAGGGAACAAGTGAAGAACCAGAGGTTGGCATTTCAGATCCACCCAGAGGCCCTGTGGAAGAAAGGTCTGACCCTCTCGTTCAGAAAGATCAGAGGCATGGAGTGCAGTTCTACTCTGAAACAGGCGGGGTTGCCATGAGTAAGAAGAGGCTGCACCTGGCCTGGGGGATTTGGTTTTTCTTTTCACAGAAGTGCGAAGCTGTCCCCTTCCATACGGATTGCAGCCTTGGGAACCGTATGGCGCAGTTCCACTCTGTTCTTTAGGGTCGCAGTGAGTTGGACTGGATGTGACAGCAGTGGGTATAGTATGATGAACCTGGTTACCCGTGTGATTAACAGGGTTTGAAGTTGGAGAAGTTGAATCTTCGCTCCAGTTGTTAGTTTTCAAATGAATCAGATACTTGAAGAGCAATCTTTTTTTTTCTTTTCTTTTTTTATTTTTTTAGCATGTCATAAAATCCACCATGGGAAAAGATAATATCACAACTATCTGTAAACACTTCACGCCCTCACAGTTACACCTTGGAAGGCGATATTAGGTATCACCAAGCATTAAAAAATGTTTTGATTTGAAAACACTTAATTAGGAATTGCGGATAAATTAAAACATCTCCATCTGCTCTCTTGCATAGTAGGTGATATTTTACCATTGCACAATCATCTCCAAATCTAATTCCACCAGGAAGACTTCTAATCGCAGTTTAATTTTAGAGCAATATTCCACTTGGCAATCAATAAAACACTGTCGTCAAACTTTGATTTAATAGGAGACGTGGATAACATTCTTCACATTCTACAGAGAGAGAAATACTTTGAGAAAAGCAAAAGAAGAACATCTTTGTCTCTCACTTTCCCCTGCTGCCTACCATCTGAGCACACAAAAGCCTATAAATCAATACCCCCATGTTGCGTGAATGTAAATCTCATCAATTTTGCATCATTAGCACCAGGAAAAAAAAGCTACCGCTCTTGGAGCAATTTTCCTCTGCTAGCTAAATATGTCTCCTTAATAAAACAAGAATAAGTGGATCCTGATTATTTTACTAACAAACACTTCCTTCTTCTCCAGCCTTATTTGTGTCAAAATCCATTAGAATTATCTAGCTATCTTATTGCAATGTGAGGGGCTAGTGACTGGGTAGTGATTCTATTCTCTAAGCTTCGTCACGTCCAGGGGCCAGTGGGCAGCCTAGACAGACAGGCCAAATAACCAAAGGGAAAGCCAAGAGGAGCCAAACAAAGCCCCCAAACCTCATTCAGTGCCAACGAGTCGATGCCAATTCATAAGCGTAGTCAAAGCGGCCAGTAAGTTGGTCGGACTCTGGAAGGTGAAGGTAAGGCAGCCAACAAAAACGATTCAAAGGTTAGAACCCTGGAAAGATGACAAAAGGCTGGGAAATGGTGTTTCAGACAGTGATGGCCAGGGACCCAGAACTGAGATCATGAGAGCCCGAGGCGCCGGTCCTTGGCGCCCAGCTGTGAGGTCTTAGGTACTCCTGACTTCCAGGATCTGGGAAACCAGAACAAGATCTCCCCGGATCTCTAGTTCCTGGTGGCACCGTGATTAAGCCCTCAGCTTCTAACTGTAAAGTCAGCCGTTGGAACCCACCAGCAACTCCAAGGGAGAAAATGTGGCAGCTCAGTTCTGTAAAGAAACTCTTCGGGGCACATCTCCTCAGTCCTATAGCATGCCTGTCGGGAATGAGTGGACAGCTGTGGTTTTTCAGTCCAAGGATTCTTAACATTGTCCCAACTGACTTCCCTCATCAGACACGTCTCTCCACGGGCCCAGTAAGGGGACAGATTTGTGTCTGCCGAGAAACATGTGTCGCCATTCACCTTCTTGTTTGGATTATTTGAATCCATAACTAAGTATTAATGAGCGAGGATGTCTGAACCGGGGCTACGGAATATAGCAATGATAACCTGATATGATTTCAAACTTGGCATTTTCACAATGTGCACATACAATGAAATGCTCGGACTTAATCGGAATATCCATATAGTTCTTTTTTTTTCCTTTCAAATGTTGACAGCTGTTCCTGGCCCCTTTGACTACTTTTAATGATATCCCTGCACCCCCCAAAATAAAACGATGCTTGTATTAGCCAAATCTACTGAGAAAGACCTCTTTAAAGTCTTGGGTACCAAGGGTGGCCCTTTGAGGACTGACATGCTCCTCACCCAAGCCATGGCATTTTCAGTGGCCTCAGACACATGTGACAGCTGGGCATTGAATACGGCAGGCTGAAGAAGAATTCATGCATGTGAATTATGGTGCAGGTGAAGAATTTTGGAAGCAACGTGGTCTGCCACAAGAACACACAAAACTGTGATGGAAGGTGTCGAGCCAGAATGTTCCCTCGATTTGAGGACAGCAAGACTTCATCTCACAAACTTTGCACATACTGCCCGGAAAGACCAACCTCTAGAACAGGACGTCTTGTTTGGGAAAGTGGGTGGGAAGCCAAACAGAGATAGACTCTCATTGGATGGATTAACAGAGTAGCTTTACAGTGAGCTCAACCATAACAGTTTTGAGGACAGCCCAGGAATAGGCAGCGTACAGTTCTGTTACACATAGGGATGTGCTGAGTCAGAGCTGCCTGTTACTGATCTGATCAAGGTCCATCATTTGGTACCTGCAGAGACTGAGGTCTACTGATTGCCCTGTGGTCACACAGGACATAGACATCCAGACTCCTGACTCCTAGGATAAAGAAAAGACCTTTATAATGACTTTCAGCACATCCTCTAGAACCCACATGCACATTGAAACTTTTACAGAACATCCCTCTGTTTAAGGAGAAGTGCTTTCAGGCGTTTTAATGCAGGGAAGTAACCGAGAGTTCACCATTGCCTAACCGGTAGCAACATTTATTTGTCGAAAGGTATGATAGCAGCAGGAAGATGAGTTTCAAGATATTTTCAAATTTCCGATAATGGATCCCCCATTACTTTATTTCAGCAACCATGAGCCAGGGTCAGTGCAAGGTGCTAGCATGGCCGAGATGAGGAGGACAGAACCTGGTGGGAAAGACAGAGCAGGAATCTGCGAAAGATGTCAGAAACAGATGAGCCACGAAGGCAGGAAGTCAAGGAGCGATAGGCAGTGGCTCCTTCCGGTGTGTCCTTATCCCTGGAGCATCCCGTTCTCTATGGAAACACAAAAGGAAGAGGGATTATTTCTGCAGAAAGAGGAAGACAAGCCATGTTCAGAGAAGCTTTCTCAGCAGTGGTGCGACTCCAAATAGCTTTTCAAAGAGCAGTCGAATTGGGGCAAATGGAGAGCAGAATGGGCATGGTGAAAGGAGGTTCTCATGCATTGGAAGGCTAAGAGACATGTGTAGCCCCCTCTCTCACTCAAATGCTGACTGTGGACCAAACAGAGTGGTGTTCCTTTCTCAAGACTCTGTAACACCGTTTGCCAGCAAAGCTGTGTGAAAACCATACAAACCTATGGTTTCATGCACAGACACCCCAGGAGTCGTGCGGTGCATAGCCGCATGACTAGCGAGACCCCTGGGTCTGTGAAATGGGAGCGAATCCGTCTAGAAGTTCAACTAGGCTGCATCGTGAGGAAGGCTCTAATACAGCCTACACTTCTGCATAGAGTGGGCTCTGGCCCGCTGAGCGAAGCCCTCCCTGCAGACGCGCGCTCATCATGTGAGCAATCCTGCTTCTCTCTCGGGTCCCAGCATTAGGACCGTGGAGGGGAGACCCTATTTCTCAAGGGCAGCCACGGCTCCTTTGCTTCCCATCTGGACCCGACAGCTTTTCCAAAACCCTCCGGGCTTGTTCACACATTGCAAAAACACTTCTCTTATTGATCAACAGCTCAAAGGAACGGTCTTATAAAATAGGCGTTTTCCTTTTGTCTCTGATAGGCCCTGCAGCATCATCATGCTGTTCACGAAATTTCCTACATTGCAAAGGACATCACAGACCACCGGGCCTTTGGATACGTTTGTGGGAAGGAAGGGAATCACAGATTCGTGGCGATAAAAACGGCCCAGGCGGTAAGTACTTCCACCCAAGGCCATTGTCTCCTCGTTTTCCCATGGGGAGAGCATTGCAGGTCCCTTGGTCTTGGAAGGCCCACCCTTGTACGATGAGCTAGAGAGGCATCCTCCCTAGAATCGGATGCTCAGCTTCCCATCTCAAAACCAGGACAAGCTTGGAGCAAGACACTTCATCCATTCCCATCCGGTCGGTTTGTTTGTTTGTTTGTTTCCAGTGGGTATTTCCTAATGACTAATTACTGTCCTTTCTGATTAAACTGGAGGGAGGCTCAGTGTACAAACAAGTTTCCTTGCTCTCATAGCCTCATTTAAAGAGGAAATATGAGAAAACAAAGAGCTGTTTTGCCATCAGGCCTACCCTAATTTCATTGTATGTGAAATTACTAATAAATAAAAGCAATGCCTTTTATGCTTATGATTACTATGAATTTGCAAATATAATTAGTTGAAGAAGTGAACTGTAGCCTAGATACAATTTGTTAAACCAATATAAACAAGGTAGAATTAATTAAGGAGGGAAGGTTTCAAGGTAATAGGAAAAAGAAGGACTGTAGGATGCAGCAAAAGTTGGTGGGCCTGGCCCAGTCATTTTCACTGAATGAACTTACCCAAACCTTGTACTGCAGGCCGAACCTGTTATTCTGGACTTGCGAGATCTCTTTCAACTCATTTATGAATTGAAGCAAAGAGAAGAATTGGAAAAAAAGGCACAGAAGGATAAGCAGTGTGAACAAGCTGTGTACCAGGTATACGTGTGAACTGGTCCTACAGCCAGAGAAGATGTGGGCTTATAAGAAACAGATGTGAAAACTGCCAGTCAGGAGCTCTCCTCCCTCTGCCAAGAAGAAATCCCAAAGACGAAAGGGTCCCACGTAAATGTCAAGCACCCAGAGCAAGCCTTTAGAGCTAGAAAGCACCCCTTATGCCCTGAGCTTCCCAATCCTTCAGAGAAAGTGCAGTCTTTCATCCAGAGCAAGTTTTCAGGGAAAGAGGGCCAAGAAACACAATTGCTTTGGCTGTGGTTAGGGTGGGATGGGGGCATGGGGCGTGGGAGGAGTTGGGGGTTTGGGGGGCGGGTGATGTTAAAGGGACAGGGGAGGGCTATATGAGTTTTTGCTTTTTCTGTGTCTTTTTCTCCCTTAATGACCCACCAGCCAGTCCCCACAGAGCTGCTTTCTGTGCTGCCCTGTGATTTCTGAATACGGTCTCCCCTCTCCCCCTTTGTGTCCTCTGCCCTTCACTCTCCTGCCTGTCGCTCTGTCGTAGACAATTTTGGAAGAGGATGTTGAAGACCCTGTGTACCAGGTAATTCGGAACCACAGTCGACTTTTCAGTTCAGGATGGGCTAGGCCTGAGGTTCAGACCGTGTGCCAGACCCCTGAAGCGTCCCCTGGCTGCAGAGCCTGCATGGGGGTCTGGATTATGTGTGAGGGGGAGACCCATCTGCCAGCCCCTCCAGGAACAAATTTCCATAAAAACAGAGCAGACATTTGGCCTGCACCAGGAAAGTGGGATTTGCCTCTCCCATCATGCCCCTGCTTCAGCCCCGTCCACAATCTGTAAAAGTTTAAGCCCAGAGCCGAAGGCTTTCAAGAGCCTATTGAATATTCTGAACTCATTAGCGAGAGAATGAGTAATGAGGAGGCTTCTCTGCATTCAGGGATGAGATGAGGGCTGACATTTTGGCGGCAGTTTAACGCAAACCCAGAGGAAGGTCTGTGTGTAAGCTGTAGAAGGGCAGTGAGGAGAAGGCTCTGGTCCCCGATTAGCCAGACTGACCCTGGGATGGTTGTGAGGAGCGAAAGGAGGAACCCAGAGCCCCCTGACCAGCTGGAGCGTCCTCTCAAGTCTTCTCCAAGGACTGTGGCCGCTGGAGAAATGCGGGACAGAGAGAGCAGAAACTCCTCTTTCGTTGTGCTTACAGAAAAGGGAGCCCAAAGATTGACATAAAGGAAATTCTGAACCTACAACTCAGAGGCGCACGTATCATTCTGTGTCCACCGTATGTGTGCTATATGCATTGATCTACATTGAGGTGGATGTCTCCGTCCCTGCAGAAAGCTGTGACTATGAGGCCAAGAGTAAGCTAGTGTGGGGAGCCTGAAGCTGACAAAGTCTCTAGTGCATATGGCACAGTAAAGTCAAAGGACCCAAAAAGGACCTTAGGGAAGGTCCTTCTTCCTTGGGGATCCTGGCAGGCAAGGGTGGCCTTTAGAATAAGAGCTCAGGCCCGGACTAACTGGCTCACGAAGACTCTAAGAATCTTGTCCTTTTTTGAACTAGCCTGTGATTTTCCAGATTTAAAATGTAAAAGGAAGTGATATTTATAGGGTAAGGGGGTTAGGGGCGGGGGGCGGGGGTGTGTGCGATGTCTTTGAGGGTCTTCTGAACATTTGAGGGTTTCCTCCAGACTTTGGGTCTTAAGTTCAAAGGAGACAAAATCTGTCACCCAGGTTTCCTGGGGGCCCCAAGCATTCCTGAGAGAGTCCCTTCTGAGCGTGAGGAGCTAGCCCACTCAGACCTTGCTGAGGTCAAGTGCTATTGACAGGGGAGGGTCTCTTCACAGAGACCTGCTGGGCCCTGTGATCCCACTGAAGGGCTGATCTTCAGGCCTTTGGGGCTTTTCTTTAAAGAAAACTGCACATCTTGCTCACTGTGATTTAGCTCATGAATTCCAAATGCCTGTTTTCCTCTTTCTTTTTCTCACCTCTGACCTGTCCTCTCGGGCTGCTCCTGTTATAGTACATTGTGTTTGAGGCTGGACACGAGCCAATCCGTGATCCCGAAACGGAAGAAAACATTTATCAGGTATAGAATTGTTTGCCTTTCTTAACCGCTATATCACTACCAGCAAATGCATCGCAGCGTCTTAAGAATTAAGGGGTCGCACTTTCAGGGGCCTACCTAGCTAGCTCAGTCATTCCGGGATTGCATGAACTGGCTGCTCCTCTCCTGACAATTTGCCAGGTTTCTGTTTTGTTTTGTTTTGTTTTTATTATTGTGGTGGTTTTAATTTGCTTGGATTTTTCATGCCTCGTTGTTGAAAGGTTTAGTGGTCAGTTGGGAGCAGTGTTTTAATTTTTAATGGGTCATAATTATGTTAAGAAGACACGAAGATCTAACATTCTGTGATGGGCTTCCGAGTCCATGAGCTTTTCATTCTGCCTCTCCACGGACTCAGTGGCGCTCTCTTGTCTTTTGCTGATACGTTAGCATACGTAAAGTCATGTGTTACAGGGTTGTTGTCCTTAAAAAACCAGGTTCCTCATGTCTCAAAACCATTTGCGCATCAAATTTCTTTAAAAAGTCAACCCTGCTATTGAAAATAAAGTGCACATTCAAATATGCTATTTGAAAACAACTTTGGAAATGATAACCAAATAAATGTTCAAAGACAGAATACTGGATGTTTCATCCATTCCCTTTTATAAATTAATGTTTTCCATCATTTACGATGTGCAGAACACATTTTTTGAAAAAGGTTTTATTGTGAATTGGGGTGAAGGTTTACAAAGCTAATCTGTTTTCCATTCTGTAATTTATCCGCATCCTTTTTCCTGTCATTGATTGCACTTTTAAACATCAGTTACCCCTTTTCACCCCTGTTTCACCTTGTTTCCTAACCTTCCTACTTGCTGAATTTTGTCCCCGGGCAAATCCTGCTCCTTGATCTTAAATGCTTGATTATGCCAAGGAGCGCAGCCCTCCTAGTGTGATGGTTCACCTCAGAGGCCTGCCCTCCGCTTGACTGGAAATTAAACCCACAGGGAAATTCAGGACCCAGCCCAAAGAGGCATGGGCTTGAGGGTTCTACTAGAAAGCCCCGCCTTTAAAAATTTATTTTCAATTTTGTTCCACATTTCTCTTACTCTCTAACCAGGACTTTCTAATCTGATACCTTTCAGAGTGAGAAACAAAACTCATTTGATTCTTACAAAACTTCTGTAACCAAGGTATTTTCATCCCATTTGTACGTAGACACAGAGGCTCGGAGAAACTGTGTAGCTTCCTTGAGATTGTACAACTGAGAGGCAGGATTCGAGCCAGGAGTGCATCTGAGGACAGAGCCTAAGCTCTTCCCATCCTGCATTTCCCTCTGACCGTTGAGTCGTAGCAGCACAGCAGTATGTCCAAGAACGAGAGAGGCCTCTGTTTTTTCACTAACTGGAATTTCAATCTCGGGTTAAAATGCAAACATTATAGAAAAAAGGGGAAAAATAATATGCAATGTTAATGTTTTAATTCAGGTCATTGTGCAAGGACTCCTAGTCTCAGTGCTTGGAGTACTAAGTCCACACACTGCCATTGAGTCATTGCCAAACCGTGGTGACTCCGGGTGTCACTGTCAGACTGTGCTCCTGGGATTTTCCAGGCACTTCCCGGCATAGTGCTTATCCCCACGTTCAGCAGTTCAAAACCACCCGTCCAATTCTCAGGAGAAAAAACAGGCTTTCTACTCCCATGAAGAGTTACAGTATTGAAAACGCACAGGGCCAACTCTCCCTGTGCTGTAGGATCTCTGTGAGTTGGCATGGACTTGGTGGCAGTGAGTTTGGTTTGGGTTGGGTTGGGTTTTCTGGATGGACTGGAACTCCCAACCTCTTGGTTGGCAGCCAAGTGCACTGACAGTTTGTGTGCACCCCACAAGGGCTTCACTTGTAGGTAACGATTGTGAAATTAGAAGAGAATATCTTTTCAATTCTTTATCAAATGTATAAGACACTTAGATGACCAAAGCACAGTTTCAGTTCTCCCAACAACTTGAGTGGTAACCAGCATTGTGAGGTATGACTGGAACTGCCCCCGACATCCACCTGGAGTCTAATCAAGCTTAAGGTTCTGCCTGGGAGCTTGGCTTAAAGTCATCACTTTCAAAGCTTCCGTTATAGAAATGTGTCTTCAATGTCAGATTCTAAAGGATACACCTGCAGTGTCTGGTGAGAGACCAAAGCCTTCCTGCGAAGAGAGACCACTTTGGAAAATAGAATTGGGCTTTTTGGCTCTAAGAAGCTTCTGAATCCAGATCGAAGCTGCAATTGGCAGGGCTCCCCTGTGTGGCCCTTGGAGGACGGTGTGGGAGGACGGTGTGGCGGGGACAGCCGAAGGTCCTGGGAAGAGCAGCTTTCGGAGCTGGCCTCTCGGTCCAGTTCTCTCACCAGCTCCTCGTGGCTGCGCAGTAGCGGGCAAGGCATCTGCCCTTTCTGAGACTCCGATTCCCCAGATAGAAACTTGAGGAACCGTTTCTCCCGGATGGCCATGCTCCTGTGAAAATGAAAAAGCCATGTGCTGGTGCCCTGAGCCTGGCTGCACAATGGGACACCCTCTTGGGTGACAGAAGGTGCAATCTGGGCGTGTGGATTTGAGATCTTCGTACAAGGGCCTGCTCAGCCAGTCAAACCGTATCCTTTCACTTCATGGTGCTTGAATTATTAAAAGTTGCCTATATGCGCAGTATCAGAATATAAGGTACAACCTGACAGAGCCTTCACTTGAGAGGCAGGGAGACAATAAGAAGTCAGCCTATGAAGATGACTTCCCCTCTCAGGGCCCCTGTTTATCTGTCCCAAGGGCCCCCCGGGAAGACTACAGGGTCCCTCAAGCAACGCTTTCTTCTACTCGTGGCAACTAGCAGGTCACCTAGAACGCTGGTTCTTCAGAGACAGATGTTGGGTTGCTCTGTCTACCAGGCAATTCTGCCTCTCTCCCTCTCGCTGTGTGTGTGTGTGTGTGTGTGTGTGTTGCTAACATTTATCCTGTCTGATTGTGAGTAGAGGTTTGCAGGCTTCTCATCTTTCCAGCCACCCTAGGTGCTTTGCGTCTTTATTCCCACCCTATAGACAGAGAAAGTGATGCTCCTGAGAAAGCATCTTGCCTAGGGTCTACCCCTTAGCCAGAGGTAGAACTCCCCCTCCTGGCCAGGTTTCTATGACTCAGAAACCTGCACACCTACCTGCACATCAGTCAATACCTGACTCAGATTATTGTCCTAGGCTGTGGTCAGCGTAGGCTTCCCGGATTTGGAGCTTTGCAATTTGCTGCCAGCCATCAGGTCACTATCTAAAAATCACACTTGTCTTTACAGCTCTGACCCCCTGCTCTCCTGCTTGTTCCTCATTAGCAGCAAGTTGCCATTGAGGGAATGAATATTTTATCACCCTCTGTTCAAAAGGCCTCTGGTCATTCTTCTCTCCCATTTAAGCCTTTCCACTGGGGCACAATTTGCTTAACAAGAGATAAGCTCTTTGGCCCACAGGTAAGGCTGGGCTTTTAAGCGGCTGCCTTAGGAGCTCATGTGGCTTCTTTTTTTTTTTTTTTTTAAGGCTTCTACGTGCCCCGTACATACTCCTTCCCTGTGAAGTGTAGTCCCCAGGATGGAACGCCTCTGGTTTACTCTCCTCTGGTTTGTGGAGTTAGGCAGGTCATCCAGGAGACACATCCTTGATCTGTTTCAGTGACCTTGGACACATAGCCTTTGAGTTGCAATCCCAGGGCTTATAAAATGAGGGTGCTCTACCATGAGACATGACTGCAGGTATGAAGTGGTCAGAATCGCACTTGGGACAAAGTTCAAAAGGGTTGGGAAGAATGGAAATTGGAAACACAGGGCAGGGAGGACCTGGGACAGATGATGAGATTGCAATCCATGCCATGAAACACACTGCCCGTGAATTGTTGGGAGGTAAGCTGATATTCTCTGTTCACCCAATTCACAATAAAAAGTTAAAGCCATAATTATCGCACATGGTATATACCAGGTTCTGCGTCAAATGCTCGGTCCCTTTCCTTCCTAATGTCATCAGTACCAGACGCTATGTAAGATGTTGTACAAAGATGCATTGCACCAAGTAAAACACAGCACCATGCATCTTGTCAGAGAGCCTAGCAGGAGGCTGCCACCTCTCTAAACTCAAGCCCTTATAACGCCAGAAAATGGAAAGAGACCCCCTGAGTAACTGGCACCTCTCTGATGAAGATCAGTCATCTCATTTTCCAAGCTATCATCATCATCATCATAATTGCCTTTCACTCTGAGTGCTCAGAAAAAGTTATCTATTAAAAGACAAACAAACAATGCAGAGCCTCACAGTACCAAGCATTTTCCTATTGCTTAATGTTGATCCCGCTGATCATAAATTGAGACAGGAAAAACATCTATGATGATTATAATTTTAAACATGAGAAAATCAAGTTCCCCCATTTTGTGGGCTGTCCCCAGTCAGGGTCGCTGCTTCTAAACCCAGTGTTGCTTCTCAGGCTTCCTAGGTAAGCAGGATCTCAGCTGGCCAAGTGGTCATTGTTCAGATTCAGTCCTTCCAAAAGCCCCCTTAATCCATGCTTAAGATGTATCAAGTGTTTGGGTTTTAAAATGGTAAGTCTCTAGTCCCAGGCCAGAGCCCCTGGGTGGTACAAGTAGTTAAATGCTCAGCTACTAGCTGATAGATTGGGAGTTCGAACCCAGCCAGAGGAGGCTCAGAAGTCAGGCCTGGCAATCTGCTACCAAACATCCCCAGCCTGAAAGCTCAATGGAGCAGGTCTGCTGTGTGCACCGGGCACCATGACTTGTGGCTCAAGGGCAGCTAATGACAAAGATCCCGTGCTGCTCAACACGCTGCCTCTCTACATTAGTTCCCATAATTAATATGCTAAAAATGTATATTCTCTATATGTGGGGTATAATTGGTAACTTAATTTTACATAATTAACCTAATTATTCAAAAAGTCACTTATCTGTGGAACCCATAACACCTGACAAGTATAAGGAGATATAATGGTCGTGACATGGTCCCCACCCTCAAGGAATATATAGGCAATGCCCTGGATCAGAGGCGGGGGACATTTTTACTGTCAAGGGCCGTTTGGATATTTAGAACATCATTCACAGGCCCTAGAAAGGATCCACTTAAAATCAGCCTGTTATCGTTGGTCAGATATATAAATTACCTCACCCTCAATGTGATGGCTGGAAGGGCTTCCCTTTGGTCAGGCGTGTGATGTTAGATCACCAGTGTTGATGCATTCATGGGCCTTACACTCCCGCAGGACAAGATTCCCGCCCCCCTGCCCCCTGCCTTCCATGCTCTGGCAATGAGATGAAGAAACAGAGGTTCAGAGAAGAAAATGAACCTCGAGGTTCACACAACCTGAGGCAAAGCCAAGGTGGGGCATCAGACCTCTATGCTGCTACCTGCTGGAGACTCGCTCACTCGAAGCCTTGTGTCCCCCTGAGCTGGCTGGTAAATGAACGCACCAGGGGACCAAGAGGGACCCCTCTTTGTCTGCGTCCTTTAGTGGTCCTGCCAGTGTGGCCCACAGCATGCAGGGGATAAGTGGCTGGTGCTAAATAACTAATAGGCACAGAGCAAATCTCCTCTGTTTGCCGGAAGCTATGCCTCCATATTTCAAAGAGCAGTAGGGCCACCCATGGTGACACGGTGGACAGGTCTCAGGAGAGCTTCCACCCTGAGACAGGAGAGGAAGAAAGGGTTGGTGATCGACTCTTTCAAAGTAGTCCATACACAGCCTCCGGATCCTAGCAGAATGTCGCCCAGTGGATGCTGGGAAAGAAGCCCCCGGGTTGGAAGGCCCTCAGAATACACAGTGAACTCCAGCTTACCAGCCATCACGAAGATGGTGCAGGACCAGATGGTGATGGTGCCAGCTCACCAGCAACGAACGATAGGAACTCAGCCGAGCAAGTATGATAATAAAATATCTCCCCTGCCCTCCGCAAGCTTCCGGAGCAGAAGGACTTGTCAACAGACAGACAGCTAGTGAGCCGACAGTTCCCATGTGGTCTGCTAATGCCATTCATAAGAGAAAGCACATTTTGCTCTCTGCTTCCATGGGCTCAAGTAGTAGGGTCGTGGGCAATGTGTTGGACTGCTAACCACAAAGGCAACAGTTGGAAACCACTGGCAGCTCCGAGGAATAAAGCTGAGGCTCTCTACTCCCATAGAGTTCGTCTCAGAAACCTACAGAGACTGAATTCTACCCATAGGTCACGCTGAGTCAGAATGAACTCAGCGGCAAGGAGTTGTTTGGTGCACAGTGGCCTCAGTACCTGTCCACCACTCCCAACGAGACAGGGAGCTGTGCTCCATCCGGGGCCTTCTCCATCTGGTCCCAGGAAAGCACAGCACAGGACACAGGATGAGCCCTCAGGAAAACAAGCCCGAGTTTACAGGAACACACCAGGAAGGCTCCACGCCAGGCCTAGAGACCAGCCCAGGCTTCCAGAAGATGTCCTGACTGAGATAAGTCTTGAAGGACAAACAGGCAGATTGATACTCACCCATGGGATAGCCAAGTGCAAAGCTTTTTCAATTATGCACCGTTTGGGCTGATCCATCTCACTGCTTCCCCTCTATTTGCAGGGATAATTGAGAGTCTGCCGCGGTTCAACTGTGCTGAGTGCCCGTAGTGAGCAGTGAATTAGGGGGAACAGAACGCTGTTCATTTTGCTCAGGAAAGGGGGAGCTCGTGAAAACAAAAGTGAGAGCTGGTAATTTATCGGCCCTCATTAGCAAGGATTCGGCAGGCGTTCTTAGAGAATTCCTTTTAGATAGAGCCCGGTTATCAGAGCAAAGAGATTGCCTTCTCCCGTGGTGGCTCCCTGCGCCCCGGGTTGCTGATAAGAGCAATTCGGCAAATGCATCATCCAAACCCAGCTCTGCTCACTCATGGCTCCATTGTCTGCCAGAAGATGCAGGAGCTTCTGGGAATACAGACTGTGAGGTCAGAGGACGAGAGGAACTCAGACCAAGGGTGGGAGCCTGCGAGTGCTGCCAAGAGATCCCTGACTGTCTGGTCTAGCCAGCCTTGAAACGGCAAGCTCCTGGGGCCTGGGGTTCCTGGCTCCCCTGCTCACTGACCCCTCTCTCATCTTTGTTAATGTTCTCCACCATATGGGGACAGCTACCCCTAGCCAACTGCTGTTGAGTCCATTGCAATGCATAGCACCCCAAGTCTGTCAGAACAGAGCTGTGCCCCATAGGGCTGCCAGTGGAAGAAGAAATCCAGACATTTCTGAGGTTCCTCTCAGTGGTTTCGAACCTTCAACCTTCTGGTTAGTAGCTGAGCGTGTTAACTGTGCTACCTAGGAACTCGAGGGCAATTCTAGTCTCAGCCTAACAGAGTCGTCTAAGGGGTATAGGAGAAGATCCTTAAAACATAAGTGTTTACAACAGTGCCTGGCACCAAAGTGCCTGGCCCAGGTGAGCTCATCCTGAATGACGTGTGGCAGTTAGGAAGAGCGGGGTTTGAACCCTCTCATTTAATAGCTGTGGAGCTTTGCACCTCCTTCCCTGACGTCTCTGAGATAACGTTCTACCATTTGCAATGGAGATTATATTTTCAATTATTTATAGGGTTACTGTGAAGATCCTGTTTTGATTATGGGAGAATGAAAAAGATGAAGAAACTCAAGGAATAAATGTATATATATATTTATTTATATAATTTTTTTTTAATAAGAGTATAGTTAGCAGGTCCAACCAAGCCTACCAAATTCTTTCATTTTTTCCTTTTCTTCACTCTTTCTCATAATCTTCTTGGGTCTGTTTATCCAGCAGACATATATATACTGAGCGCCTGTTGGGTGTTCGGCACAAATCAAGGCGTCAGAATAGTGTGATGAATAAGAAATGATGCCTGCTCTTAAGGAACTCCCAGGCTGATGGAAAGACAGATACATTATCAGACAGTGAAACCACCATGGCTGGCTGATCCCTGTTAGGGAGATGTGAGCTCAGGTGTGGCAGGAGCAGCTAATGATTGCTTCCAGTCTAGAGTGCTTCCTGCAAAGCCCTGGATGGACACACCAAGAAAGTACTCAGTCTGTTGCTATTATCATAATATATGTTAATGTATGTATTTGTAGAATGTATCAATGGCAAATGTAATTACCATTCTGGTCCTTCCTTTGGTGCTTAATTGTTTTTCATTCTTTTCATATCCATAACAGTGAACTTTGCCGGAGCTAGGGGACCTGCTTAGGGTATTTCAGCCAGCAAGTGGCCCAGCTAAGATCGGATGGATGAGCAGGGGAGGGAGGGCGATGCAGGTAAAGGTTAGAAGCAAAGTGAAGCTCATCGGGATGCTAATCTGTTGCCATTCACCAGCCCCCTGCCCCCCTGGGTTTTATTTTTATCTCTGGTGAAATTAGGATTTTTTTGTTAACCCGCAACATGCCCCCTGCATCTCTCTGGGCTCTGGGACTCTGTGAGGGTCCCAGGAACACAGTCTTGCCCTGTCTGTTCAGTGAGGAGCATGCTCTCTCCTGGTCCACTTTTCCTCACACACTGAGCCCAGCTGTCTGGCACTTGCAACTGTTAGAGCAGCTCCCTCGGCCTCCAGGGCTGCCTCGGGGCCCTTCGTCGGCCCAGACACTGTGGCCAGCCTGGAGGGAAAGTCTGTTTCCTCTGAGGGCTTAGCAGAATTTTGACTATTTTACCTTTTTCCACAGGTTCCCACCAGCCAAAAGAAGGAAGGTGTTTATGATGTGCCAAAAAGTCAACCAGTAAGTGTAAGTACACCTCCTCTCAGCGTGGGGGCTGCTGCGAGGGTTGCAACCCACGTGGCTCTGGCTCTAGGCTAGGGACTCCTCAGGGAGCCAGCAGGCAGCAAAGGAAGGCTGGCAGTCATGCAGACCTCTAGGGGTGAGCATATCAAGGTCTCGGGTGTCCCAGGGGCAGCAGGAAGCACGCCCCCAGGCAACCTGAGCATACCCTTGTTGAACGGATGCGTGGCCTCCTAGAACCCAGTGGCACAGCCTCTTAGCCACACTCAATTCATCTTTTGCCGCAACCCTGCCCCAGCACAGGCTCAGGGTCGGAAGGACTTCTAAAAGTCTGTGGGTAAGTCGATCATGGGATGTGGCCCATATACTTTCTGAAGCTCTCTTTTGCTGGGGACTTGCCGCCCCCCACCCCCCACCCCCCCGGAAGTCTTGTAGAGCACATGGCTGAGAAGAAAGCATGAGAGAGAGGGGCTTCTCATCCACGTGTCTCTGCTCTTCGTCCCCGCGGTTCCTGACTCCACATGGATAAAGATGTAGACCAGGGAGACCCTGGGCTGGGGGGTGACGTCTCCACGGTCCAGTGAGGGACAGTGTCTTGATAACGAGACGAGAGCTGCCCATCTACTGTGAAGGGGGCTGAGAAGAGAACAACCAAGAAGGACTAATGGGGCCTTCGGGGTATCAAAGGCCCCAAAAGCCAATGGGATAAATAGTATGGAAAATCCCTGCTTAGTCAGCATGCGGGGGGCCCCCCACCCCACCTGAGGCTTAGTGCACTGAGGGCAACAAAGATCACTTGGGGACCTCCAGTGCTGGTGGGACCCAGGGGGTCCGAGACAGAAAGGACAGTCGCCGGCTCTGTGACGTTCCCCCAAGTCAGTTTCTCCGTACAGTTCACCCAGTGCTGGAGAGCCAGTGGGGGCTGCTACATCAGGGGACGTGGGACGTTGCAGCAGCACATGTACAAAGAATCAGGGCCGTTGGTCTCTTGATTGCATTCAGTTCCACAATGTATGGAAAGAGTATGGGCGTTGAAGTCAAGCCCACCCTCCCAGAGCTGTCGTGAGGCTCTGGTAGTTCTGCCAGGAACATTGTTAGCCATTCTGGATTCCATCCTCTCAGGAGGATACAGACAGGCCGGCATGTTTTAAAGGAGCCGTAATGGCACTGTGGGTTAAGCATCGGGCTGCTAACCAAAAGGCTGGCAGTTAAAACCCACCACTCACTCCTTGGGAGAGAGTTGAAGCCTGCTGGGTCCATTAAGATTTACACTCTCAGAAACCCTTCCTATCAGGTTGCTATGAGTCGGGATGGAGTCGAGGGCAATGTGTATGTTCACTGGTTCGTTTGTCGGTGGGGGTGGAGGTGTTACATGGTTTAAGTTGGGGGCTGTACTGGTTCCACCTCAGCCAGCCCATGGAACCCCAACACTGGCTCACAGTGAACTAGAACAGCGCCGGGGTGGGATGGGCTGGCGCCCAGACTGTGAGCTCTCCATCACTGGAGCCGGGCCAGCAGAGAGCAGAGAGCCGCTGTCAGAAACCCTCATCTGGAGGATTCAAACATTTAATGGGTAGACAGGCAAGGTGAGCTCTCGACGTCCCTCCCAACCTGAGTCTCGATTCTCTAGCTGGGTTGTCCTCCTGCTCCATTGGCTCCCTCCACTGACCTCTGCTTCCCTTCTCCCTAGTGAGAACCTTGTCTTGATAAATGCCCAGTTCTCTAATCCACTTCCTGTGTTTTGAAGCCACCATTATCCCCTAAATACCGGCTCCCAACCCCAGGGCTTATTAGTGCTGGTGAAGAGGCATATTTAGATGTGTGCCCGCTTCACACACCAGTAGAGAACCGGCTGTGGGAACCTGGGGGAGGAAAAAGGCGTTTTTCTCCCTGGGCCTCTACATTTAATCATGCCCCTTTGTCACCGAGACACTGGCCTGCTTTCTGTGTTTCAATTTGGTGTGGGCCCCCTTTACACCGCTCCCTCCAATTCAATTTGTGCCAAAATTGCCTCCTTTGCCCCTAACAAGTTTGGAGACGTGAGGAAACATGCTCCGTTTGCTGCCTTGCTTTTGTGAATTTATTAAAGCAGCCTGGCCACACCATCTCCATGCTTACTAGCACCTTAAAACACACACCATACACACACACCAGCACTCACGGCCCAGCCTCACATTACACACACACACACACACCAGCACTCACACACACACACCAGCAC